AACGAGGCATTTTAGGACTCGGCGGGCCTTACAGATATAGCTTCGCGGTCAAATATACACTGTTGTGTTCCTTATTCATTGTACTCAAAAAGGAACTTCTGGGCCCAACGGAGAGAAAGTTGGTTTCTTTAGCTTCCCCAAAGAAGCGTCACTTAAAAAAGGTCTGGCTTGCTAAACTCAGAAGAGATCCTGGCAAAAATTTTAACTAGAACAACAACACGACTGTATGTTCACTCTATTTCGAACTGTGCGAAATTCAAAAGGATTTGGTGGGAAAATGCCTTTAAAAAGACATAATGAAATCTCTCCTACGAAGTTTAGCTGGCGTACTTCACCAAGAAAGCGACCAGCTCCTTCTCTGAGGACGGATCCAGTAGTAAATGAGCGTCTGAAAAGAAATCTGGACATCGACTCAGCAACAACAAATAGCGCTATCGAGGAGAGCCTTTCCGCTAGTGCTGTTGAGTTTGAAAGTGCTACGACAACAGAATCCTACACCCAAGAAATTAATCAATTAAAACTGGACTTAGAACAACAACTGAGACAAATAACCGCTTTGTGTAAGGAAAAGGACGATGCCTTAAGAGAAATCAAGCGTTTATAAACGCTTGATTGTTGTTTATAAACGCTTGTTATTGTTTTAAAAAATAACAACACGCCGAACTTAATAAACATAACGAACTTTGCTCAGCTTTCTCTTCGTGAATATTTGGTTTGGGTCTGGATCAATGATATTCTTATCTTTTCCTTGGGAAATATACTCTTCCACACTAAAAATAACCGTAAAATCCGGACTAAACAACAGACTTTGTTTACAAGCTATCGAAGTTCAAACAATAGGGGCTAAAAATCTCTAACTTACTGTTTTACTAGTTGTGCTTTTGTAGTCAAACCTTTTGCATGATCACCCCGACACTTCAACAAGCACCAGGGATATCACACTCGTTTAGTTTCACAGAAAACGCCACGGTTTCATCCTAAAACGCCTCGTTTTGGTGCTCGCCCCATACTTTGTCCGACCGGCAGCCATTTTATTGAAATCGGTTTATTACGCCCAATGTATACACAAAGTCACACACCGTTCGCGGTAGAATCGCACAATAACTTGTGGAGCGATTTGGGAACGGGTCGTTCCGTGAACTTTATACAAAGTCACACACCGTTCGCGGTAGACCCACACTAAAACTTGTGGAACGTTTTGGGAACAGAAGGTACTAGATAACATCGACCTAAACCAGATGAGTCATCGATATGTCAGCGGCGTCTTACAAAATGAACCCTTGACTTCCGCTCAATTGATCGATCGCTGCGAGAATGTTGATTTGAGTTTAGAAAGGGTCAATATTTGACATTAACAGTTTATATTACGAATATAAACTGTTAATGTTTACGAATATTAACTGTTATAGTTTAAAAAACAGCTTAAATCAAGTGAAATCGGTAAAATAACAACACCAGGAGCAAACATTAACACACGTATGGAATAAGGTAAGCCATTTTTATTTAATATTTTCACTTTTAACTATCTCTATGGATATCTTGTAGAAAATCCCATACAAATCCTTATAAATCGATATGCAAATTTTGTTCCTTTTGTGGTTCTCAAAGAGAGCTTGGGCCGCCTAGCCTGTGGTAAGATTAAATAAAGTTACACAACACGAGAAGAAGTATTTGTTGAATTGTTCTGTGAGGGTATATCAAAGGATAATTAAATTGAAGTATAGAGCAAGTTGGTAGTTATCAATGCTTTCTTGTAATAGACCCATGTGTCTTTATAAGAGTCAGACACACGTATCAAACTATTGTAAATTTCAACTGAGCTCAGATATAGAGACAAACCCTGGTCCTACTCCAATGTACATTGACCCTAGCAAAACAATAACAGCACCATGCAGCCAAGCTCATGAGTTGATATTTGGGCAAAGTTCAATAGAACAATGTGTTACAATGAGGTTATGCTCTTTGATTTACAATATCAAACAAGGAATCAATTCCGCTAATGATCTCTCGTCAATAATGAATATTGGAAATCAGTTGTAATCAAGGTTGCCTCAGTTAACCAGACAATATCATTTTTAATGTGGACAAAATTAACCACACTTTTAAATGTGTTCGAGACTGACTATGAACTTCAATACAGTGAAAGTTACACTGGCACTGATCATCAAGAGGTTACAATAGAAGGATATCAGTACTGTACCTCCTTAGAGCCTTTCAATCACTTATATCGAAAAATTTCGATAATTTTGTCTTGACAACAGGATGTACTGTAGTTGCTATCTATTGTAGAGGTAATGTGGGCTTGAAAATATTTGATTCTCATGCAAGGGATATTTATGGTAGAAGCCACCCTTAAGGTACATGTGTGCAGCTTGAAGTATTGTCACGGAAGAGCTGAGTACATTATTTTCAGAGTATAAATAACAATGATATATTTGAGTTGAAAGGGGTTAAAATTAATAAAGTACAAAATAGTACTCTTTTTCAGAGTCATTCCCGTGAAACCAGAAAGTTCAATGTGAGTTTTGCTGTGGCTGTCTATTCACTCTACGACTCTGTAATAAAATCATGTAGTTATTGGAATTCAAACACCTTATCTAATGTTATTCAGTGTGGCAAAAGATTATATGAAAATTCATATTTAAACAAGTATTTACCTTCAGATGATTTGCCAAAAACTGTTGATGTTTGTGGAACTGAAGTGTCAGTTTAGATCCTAAAAGTGATTGCACTGAAAGAATATTGTCTGATTCAGTTGGCAGCAAATCAATTCTTGAAAATCTTGTAAGAAATAATAGTGAATGTACGGGGTTTTTGATGTGGTTTTCAGTTTTTTGTATGATGTAATTTTAAACCAACAAAAAGGTCAAAATATGTGTATTCCCTTTTGGTATCTAATGAAAGTCAAATGCCTTTAATTGAACATACTAAAACTGTGAAGAGCACTGCTTCTCTTGTTGCAGCCATCAGCAATATTCAATATGCAGCGATTTTTCTATTAAAAACTATGAACTATTGAGCAGTAGTACTGCTTCAATCTACAGATTTCTGACAACTCCACTTGGTTGTTAACATTTGCCAATAAACTATGACTCGGTACCAATAATAGATAAAAAATTCCCTTCTCCTTGTGGTTAAAGGCAAATACATCACCTACTCAGGGTTTGTAAAAAGCCTTGAAAATGCTTGAATATAAAAATAAAAAAATCAAGACCTTGAAAGTAGTTGAATTTGAGGACTAGGGCTTCATTTTTACAGTGCTTTTTCTTTAACAATTTTCAATATGAAAATTACAGTACTTTCAGGGAAAGGCTGAAAATTGCTTTTTAGACAGTGAATAGTGTACATTACCTCGATTTTAAATTATTAGCCAGGATATCTTTATTTATGAACTTTTTTTTATTTTATTTATTATTGCAGCTAAAACATTAGTAACTTTCCCACAACGTATCTAAGTTTTAGTCTTCTTACATAGCATAATCATGGAACATACTAACTGAAAAGTGTGTCACAGGGAAGTTAAAAAGGAGGCACACATTCTGAGGCAATATCATCACAGTGACATGTTTAATTTGTCATTCACAATATCTTCAGTTATATAATAAGTTTATTCAATATTACCAGTTCTGGCAATACAAGTATCGAAAAACAACTGATTGAAAATTGTTAAAGAAAAAGCACTGCAAAAATGAAGCCCTAGTCCTCAAATTCAACTACTTTCAAGGCCTTGAATTTTTTATATTCAAGCATTTTGTATTTGTCCAATTGTATTGGGGAAAATAGTCGCAAGCCTATCTGGTTGGG